TGTTGAGACGTAATGTATTTATCGTATTTCGTTAATTGTAAGTTTAATGAATCATTATATTTTAGCTTGTTAAGATGTTATATTAGGATTTTTTAGGCATAGTAAAAATTGTATTTGGCTTGTGTCCATTTTTATAAAATACACAATTGCTTAAAAAAATTAATAAATTTAAGCTACACGATTCCAGTATATTCAAACATTACACTTGATGTAGTAAGGTATTGTTAGTTTGATTCGATGTGTGATACTGAAAATGTAGAATGAATATACCTACCATGATGTAATTTACGTAAATTATTTTAATTACTATAATAATTGTAAGACTTGACTTACCTGTCATTAGTACATGCTCACTTGGTGATTATAATCTAAAATAAATGAAGTGTTAATTTCAAATCTGTAGCGTTCTTATATGTAGTTTAGGTACAATTGATGAAGAAATTGACATTACATTTATTTTGAATATGATATAAAAGTTGCGAAACTGTTTGTGTATTATAATGTTATACTACTAGTCAACGAGTGTTTATAACGACAGTGTCAAGTAATTTAATTAAAATGTTAAAAATGTAATTACACTTGATTACTTTAAATCAAATAAATATCTGCATAACTAAAAATAATGTATTTATTAATTCCGAATGGTATTTTTTTTAAATCTTTTACTTAATACACCTTTAATTCAAAAAGTAGGTAATAGACGCAAATTTTTAAATAGATATCTTTCTCTTTTATTTTCAGGAGGCAGTATTCCAAAATACACATGAAGTATTCACAACTAGTCTAACATTATTTGTAAGAGAAATGAGCAACAGACTTCGTATTGCCTCCAACATGCACTTTGATATACAATGTAAGCCTAAATTAAGTTTTTTTTTTTATAATTAATTTTAAATATTTCTCCCCTTTAGTATTTTGATACGGTTTATGTGACTTGACGTTCACAACAAAATATATTAATTAAATTTATATTATGATTTTTATTGTCGATCAGTTGGTGGATTATTGAAGCATAATATATAAATATGTAGTTATACAATATAGAGTACCTACTTGTTTTATTTATTTTTATTTTATACTAGCTTTTGCTTGCGACTTCGTCCGAACAACATTTCTAACGAATATTTATTAATTATATCGTATAAAATACCTGAAATAAAGTTTCATCCCCTTAGGGATGGAATTTATCACAATCCTTTCTAAGGGGATGCCTACGTCATAGTAGCTTTATGTATGCAGTCTCAGCCTGATCGGTTTGAAATTGACAAAGTTTCATACAAACTTTCGTCACCTATTATATCCCCTTGGGGGTAGAATTGATCAAAATCCTTTCTTAGCGGATGCCTACGTCATAACATCTACCTGTATGCCAAATTTCAGCCCGATCCATCCAGTGGTTTGGGCTGTGCGTTGATAGATCACTATGTCAGTCAGTCACCTTTGAGCTATAGATACCTATTTAGATTTCAAAATGCAGAACATTTTTTTGTTTTGTGACAGGTAAAATGAGGATATGAGTGGTTTAATTAGTACTTGTAAAACATTTATTAAAATACGATAACTGAGTTACAATATAAGATGTAGTATTATTATCTGCCAGGACTTCGTGGGGTGGATTAGTGGAGTATACTAAAAAAAAATTTACTATGGGAACAATACTGAATTCAGGAAAATATAATCAGGTGTTTCATGTTGTTAACGATTGTAGTTACAATTTTGTATGAAACAGCTGATTATTTTTTCGTAAATTCAGTGTTGCTCCCATATTTGACTAATCTCCCCACGAAGTCCTGGGGCGCGACCGCCTAACTCATGGACGTAGCCGTAGTCGTAGCTATAACCTACGCTTTATCGATATTTCTTATGAATCTGTTTATATTCTTTTAAAATTAATTGTTTTTTTTTTAATTATATATTTTATCAAACATTTGGTTTGTTTTTCTTTTCGAAATAGCATTGTTTGTATCAATTTAACATTTTGTAAATTTCGTTTAACTTTAATAAGTCAGCTAACAAAAACAACTAAAAGCATTGATTAAATATGTAAATAATAAAAAAAATGATTAACCTATAAAGCGTAGGTTATAGCTACAACTACGGCTACGTCCATGAGTTAGGCGGTCGCACCCCTGGTATATAATAATATTACACATAATTTATTAAATAAATATAAATAAATTAGAATATTTTTATCACAAATTTCATCTGGTTATTCAGAGCGTTATTTTTTTATTATCTTACAATTTTACATGCATTTTCTGTTAGACGTTTATCGTTTATATAATTACTGACCAGCACGAAAACTTGGCTACATTGAATTTTATTTTTGATTAAAATGACATTTAACATTTTATAAATTAGTACTTATTTAAAGAATTTCAATTAATATTTTAACGCGTTATAAGTCTTCATAATTCATTTGGTTGTTTTTATTGTTAAAAATTGTGAAATGATTAGTTAACGCGGAAATGAACATGCAGTGTTAAATCATGAGGTCTATCAGCCCAAGTCCAAGCTAGTAACAGCCTGTTGCAATTTTGTCATTTATTTCAAACTTATCTACTCGAAGACATATCAAAGTTGATCCACCCGAAGATATGTCAAAGTGGAAATATTGACATAATACTTAAGATGTATCCAATGGCTAGAGAGTTAGGCGATCGCTCCCCAGGAATTGCTTGTATCGTATGAGCCCCATATAGGAAATAACATGGTACTTGATGAATAGTCCTATATATAACATCGCGGTTAAACGATTAATCACGACAACTTATTTTGTAAGACCATCCCGAACTTAAGTAGGTAGGTATTTTTCCCTATTCCATTGTGGAACCTATTAAAAATGTCAGTAGGTATTTGTGGGTAAAAACTGTTTTTCACTTCTTTGTCATTTTTTAACTACATTCATAGTACATAAGTACTTAATAACAAGTAGGGCAGAAGACTCGATTTTGACCACTGTCCCCTTTTTGGTAATTTAGCATTTCAAGACGTTTTAACTTCTTTATTTCGTCACCATGGTTAAGCAGAAATATAGACGTAAAAAAAACATAAAATTAGAACCATTGGCGCCATCTTTCTATTGAAAATCAAAAAGTTTTGATTTAAGCAAACTTGCGGACTAGAGGTGATTTAAGGACATAAAAATGTAGTATTTGAACATCCAGGTGATCAGAGTGGAATAAACCCATTTAAGAATTAGATCATGAAGTCACATTTGCCTTTAGTGATTTCTTACTTTAAGCCGAGGCTATGTAAAAAACACTAGGTGATTTATATTAAGTATGTTCATTTATATATGTAAGTCCTTGTGACATAATAAACTGTTTTCATTACTTTAAGTTGGCTATCTTTGTACTCACATGTAATGTCCAATTAAGCTGTAATTCAAAATGTTAAAGTTACACCAAATTTTTAAAATAATATCTCAATAGGAAAAAAAATAACAAAGAAGCCCCTTTTTTTCCTTTTGTGGTTATCCAGATTCACTTTCAAGTCGAGAGTCAAACCACTTTTGCCCCACAATTCGCCATCCTATGTCGCTATTTGTCCTATTGTAGGGCACAATAAGAAAGGGACAGTCTTGGCTTTACAGGGCGTTATGTTGTTTTTGATCATTACAATAGGTCAGTATACACGTACGCACATACATACCTAAGTATTCTTAGTACCTATAGTCAAGTACGTCAGGTTAAACAATATTTTCAAATCTTGAAACTTTTAACACAATGTGTATTGAACTCAAAATCAACTGCATAAAGTCGTATTGTGTGAATTTGATTGATTTAATTAGTATTTAGGTATTTAACTTTCTTACCTTTCATTTATTATTAAAATATATTATCAACATATTAGCGTATTAATGTCCCGATCCCACTGTTGGAACACCGTCCTTATTTTCCAATAAATATTCCCAATAACTTGATGTAAGGTAAGATGTAAGGAGGGAGCAGTGGCAGCGATGCTTGACTGTGCCTCTATTCTAATTTATTCAAATGTGGGTTAAATGTAAGTAAATAAAAGCTGTAACGTTACCTTTTAAATTTTATCAACCGTATTATCCGATGTCAGCTGACTCGACCGCAAACCCAATACAGCACCATCTATATTTAGCTTTACAGATTATGTAGCTCCATTGGTTACCCTAGTCGAAGTTAGTTTGGTGTTGAAACTTCTTGCAGTTCGTCTTGCTATCGATGGCTGTGACAATGCTAGTCTTCTCGCTATCGATTGTTGTGGCGATGTTAATGCGATGAGTTAGATGTCGCTATGTATCAGTCGCCACAAGCCGTTGGTCCCTGCTGCATTTGAAATCGTTAATACCCTCCAATCCGCATTGGGCCAGCGTGGAGGGTCATGGCCCATCCTCCTTAACCATCCATAAGGAAGGCCTAAGCCCCTGCAGTGGAGACGTAAAAGGGCTGATGATGATGATGAATATTCGTCTCGAAGGTGTAACACTGATTCAAAAACTATTAGCGCGGGAAACAATTAACGTACAGCAATCCGTAAAATGTATGCGGAGAAATTATGGATACAGTATTGTCGCTACGTAATACTGAATACTAAACTCCGGGTACCTTAAAAGTTAGATTTTTAATAGATCTCTTATTTTGTCGTAATAGGTACCTTTACCTTTACTGATGGTGTGATTTGTAAACTGATATGTTCACAACATCAAATAAGTTCCCAAACAAGATATTGAATATTTTAAACAATCGCTTATATTATACAAACTCAAAACTGTTTTCGTTGTATTCTTAAAACATCTTGCAGCATCTCTACATATAGAGGTTTATTTGGTGTGCAGACTCTGTTGAACCGGGAATCAGTTACATAGTCCGAAATGGCGAGTTTGTTATTTGCCCTTGCATTTGGAGTATTATATTCCTCAAATAAATTTTGGTATGTTTGCGGTAGTGAGGAGGCTTTCAATGTGACATCTATATATTGTCCGCATTTTAGGAATTCTCCGAATTTGAATGTGTATGATCTTGTAGGAAGTTGGTTGACAGTTTACACCCAACCGAAATCGATAGATTGCTTCACCTTGCATGTGAGAGCTACAACAGATTTGGTAAGTCGCCACTTCTAATATTTATATCCAGTTTTTAATAATACTATATCTTCCCATGAGCACTACATAACTAAATAGTATAATTTGAATTAGTGCCTACACACCTAACTAACTCGTGTTATACAACTTGACAATCTATTTATTCATAATTCTGAGCCAATAATATTGATAAATGTAGACTCAGATTTGGTAGGTTGGTCGTGATTCGTAATATTAACTTTGGAAATTGAGACTAGATCTTCACGTTCTATGACCAATAAAAACTATGCAAAGTTCCTAATATAATTTGAACATGAGTTAACATACCATAAACTAACCTTGAAATACGTTTACCGTTTGTACACACGGTTGCACCATGGGGTACCACAACAAGTCAAATATCTATATTTAATTTTAAACTACCTACAGAACATTAGGGCTTAAATCAAGTGGAGAAATATGACAGATTGGAGATGTGATGTTGACTATACGTTTGATATAACTACTTAGCATAATTTTGAGCCAACAATAATAATTGATAAAGTTTTCCATTTTCCTTTAAAGCCCTTATAATATTATCAATATTAGACATGGGTTATTATTGAATTGAAACGAAAATAGAACTGCTATTCTTTCATGGATCAGGAACGGGAACAATATGTATTAAAGTACGGCAACTTCAGTGGACATGTGAATTGGGAGACATGTTTCCTAGAAGTAGAGTCACCCATCGGCAAACACTTCCTTCAAGGTACCGGCGAATCGGGCTTGCTCGAGAATGTTATAATTACATCAATTACAAAAGGTAAAATTTATTAATTTAATAAATCGATAAAAAACCATGAAATTTTGAAAGGTGGAGCTTTATGAAGTCATTAAGAAAATATCTGTCGTTCAGAACAGTACAGGATGAAAAGCTCATTAATGGAGTGGTTAGCGAGTTTCGTCTACGGTACGGTTGCTAAGTAACCGAAAAATTATCTCGAGCTACTCCGTGCTTCAGAAGGCATGGCAAGCCGTTGGTCCCAGCTGCATCTGCAGTTGTTAACACTCACCAATCCGCAATGGACCCGCTTGGTGGGTCACGCACGGCCCATTCTATCAATTCGATTCCCATTTATAGTGAAGGCTGTGCCTAAGCAATAGCGATATTGATAGGCAAGTAATTATATTTTGAGAAGCTGATGGCGCAGTGATTAGCGCACTCGGTCAAAAATAGCCATTGATAAATGTATTAGAACTAGCTTCCTTAATGAGGAAGTATTTAAAAAACCTTTAGTTCCCGAAATCAAGCTAGAAGTCGCTACGGTACGTGAAACCTTTCCGTTTTTCTTTCATGTTTAAAAGTCAATTAGTTTTCAAAACTCAATAAACAACTCATATTCAATTTGTACTTTTTCGTATTTGAATTGATATCTAAGTTTCGAACTTTTCAAATTTCAGTTTTTTTATATGTTAGTATATGGAACGGAAAAGACTGTCTTTGGTCCATTAGTTTCCTGCAAAAATCAACTTTTGCTAGAGTCACCATCTAGTAGAGTTACTTTTTTAGTGCTTTGAGACTTCTCTGTGTGTAATAATATAAGGGAGAAAAAAGCAGCCCTTGCCGAGTTTCTTGCCGGTTCTTCTCAGTTCAAGGTCTTCCGCCGTAGTTCTGCGACCCGTTGGCGTAGTTTTAGACTTTCACAAGTGTATAAGTCGAGATTGAATAAAGATTTTTGTTTTGATTTGGTCGGAGATCCGATTGTTAAGCAATTTTCGCGAAGGCCGGTCATAAGATGGGACCAAAAATTTATTATCTCGTGCTTCGGAAGGCGTGTCAAGCCGTTGATCCCGGCTGTGTCTGCAATCGTTAACATCCACCATTCTGCACGGGATTCGCGTGGTGTGTGCGTGAGATTGATAAGCCGGTGATGATAAAGTTATTTTACCTTTACCTACGTATCTGTTTCCGTGAACAGACGAGTATACTCTCCAGGAAGAATCCGCTGACCAGTGGACGTTGTATGGGCGACGGGGAAGTGAAGTTCTCATGATGCGAGATTGTATGGGAGAGACTGCAGCTACATTCGCCCGCGCTCCTTACTGGCCTACCGTACAAGATTTGTATGCTATACTACACAGGAGCGGTGTTGCACCCTTGACACAAGGAAGGGTGCTTTGTGAACCACGGAATATACCCGTAGGACATATTTCGATCAATCACTACTTTTCGAAGGTTTAGAAAATATAAGTACGTAGCATAGGTCCTTATTACTGGTTAAAACACTGTCTCCCATTATTAGATTTGTGTTATAATGCAATGAGTTAGAGTCGTTCGGGTCAAGTGTGCGCACTTTTACCTTTGGGACCTCATTGTAAATTAGAACAGTGTAATTAGAAAAATAAAAGTAGCATATTGAAATAAACATTTATTAGACTTTAATTTGAAAAACAAACAAAATCTGCAAGTATCTTAGTTTTCATTCAAACAGGTAAAAACAACTGAAAGTCACAATGCGAACACTTGACCCGAATTGTGAGTAAGTGTGCGCATAGCTATGGGGTAAATAGACGCACTTGGGGTAAGTGAACGCATTGGTTAATTTAACCGAAATAAACTTATTTCACCAAAATTATCTATCTTATTTAGTAAATTCAATGAAAATTAACCAGAGTCAAACATTTCGCCTTCACAGCTTCCAAACATTTTTGATTACTTGTCAAAGCGATTCTCAATTCATTTGCTTACAGTGAATCGCAAACTCTGCCTCTTGACTTTCATTAAAAGTTGGCTTAAACCGACCCATTGAAGATGCAGCTACGTTTAATTTAAGTCTTTTGCGAAGACATGACTCACTTTTACCAATGGCTCCTGCAGCAGCACGTTTACTTTTACCCTGTTCAATAAGGGGTTTTGCTTTAGCGATTTGTTGTTCCGTGACAGGCCCAAATTCAGGTTTTTTCTAATATAATTTCGAGGCATGACGCTGAACACTAAAAAAAATAAGTAAATAAGATTTAAGTAAGTAATAAATTATATAAATTTATTATATTCCCTATATTAAGAATCCGGGGCAAGTGTGCGTATGCGCCCACTTACCCGCGCACACTTTCCCTAAGACCGCAAAATTTGAAATAAGAACGACTGAGTCCAAAGTTATGAATATAACCTCAAATCACGCTTACGAATTTCAACAAAAATGTGCAGGTTATTAAAAAAAAAATGTCTTACCTGGTGTTGCGTTACAATTTTGCGTGGCAGAGTGTTTTCTAAACTACAAAAAAAAACCAATTAAATGGCCAAAAACAGTTTTTTGTAAATACGTAAACAACAAAGCGTGGTACGGCGCACTAACATATCGCGATTAGTTTGTATCGCCTGTAGCTACGATTGACCGAAACAATCATCCGCCCCCCCCCTCGCCCTGATCATAAGATATGGGCACTGCGCACACTTACCCACTGCGAACAGTTACCCCGAATGACTCTACTATTATTAATGTCTATAATTCTATTATAAAGATTTTATTATTAAAAATAAGCAAAATTGAAGCCCTGGTCAGACGGTCCGGTCATACCTATTATGTATATTGATCGGTGGCAGGATTAGTGATAGTCTCCTGTTATTCAATACAAATCCTACTTTTTGCGTGGCGTGTTCCTGATACGGTAATGTTATGATAAGTTACGTTTAGACTTGACTTTAGATCTTCAATTGTTATGAAAAGTGCAAAATAGTTTTACATTGTAAATAAAAGGCAATTATTTTATAAAATTGATTCGTTTTATTTATTCTTTAGTCAATTGGATAGGTGATATGGTAGGTAGACACTTTCTCCAGTTGATTTTAAATTCTACGCTCAAAGCATTAAGGTATACACATGTGGAGAATTTGTATAACCTGACGTGCTGTTGACTATACTATGTGTCCCTAAGAGAAACAACAAAACGGACAACGACACAATGTAAGTAATAAGTGAGCATCGAAAAACTATCCTTAGTACCAAGTAGTACTGTCTATGGAAGCAATAGATAGCGTTGCCTTTCAATGCTCACATTATACCTATCTAGCTGTTTTCTCGTTTTTGGCTAACCTTATAGGTTAGATTAGTATCTACCTATACTAATTTATATTTCATACAGTTCTTGAAATATACTCAGATATGCTCTAAACTCGAGGAGGTTTTATACGACGATCTTGAATCCATTTTACTGGCAATGTAATGGCATATTTGGATGTTATATAATATATGGTCCTAGAAAACTTGACTTCCAGTTTGAAATTTTCAGTGCTTTAGTTAGCGTCGTTACGGAAATGAAAGTTTTCGAAACATTACAAATCACTAATCCAATATTCAATATATCGTCAAATTCATCGTGTTCTATTCTATTGTCATTAGAATACATAAATTAGAGCAGGAAAAACGACGAAACAGTTCACGATATATAGAATGTCGATTTTAAAACTACAAGCCTAGAGTCAAGTAATCGGTTTTGCTCTAAGAAACTTTATTGATTTCGAGGTAATTAGGATGACGGCAAATTTTTGTTTGTTTGCCCCTTAGGTACCTAGATTATTGATGAATATATTTTTTTTACTTTTTGATATTTTTTGTACATTTTCCACATAGTTGTGACGCGGTAAGCCCCAATAAGGGCTATTTGATTTGATTTGAAACCCCCACTCTCCAGCTTTAATGCCTATTATTAATGCCGTTTCTTATTAAATTAAGGCAAAAAAATATACGTATCTAATATTTTTCTACTATATGTCTGAAGGATTACTAAAATAGGATTTCTATTTTTTTAAGGTGCTTTAGATTAATTATCTGTTTATATAATTAATCTAAAGCACCTTGCTACACACTCAAGAAGCGCTCTGCCTGGTGTGTATTATGTCTCCTCTACACGTAGACGGATTCATCTGCGGACATCGGCGGATGCATCCGCAGATGAATCTCCACGAACCGTCCACACGTCTGAAGGTCGATCAGTCTGAGTTGGTTCTCGTCAGACGCAACACGTACGCACGCAAAATGGATATCGAGACCATTTGGATTCCACAGGCAGTTTTCTGCTTGATACAGCTCCAGAAATTTAAAAGTTTTAACACGCAAAAAAACTGTAATAATCACACGTACACTCTCATTCGCTTCCCGATGAACACTGATGCGTCTTCAGACGTGTAGATAGACCGCTCGCTTGCGTCGATCGCTCGCCCTGGAACCCTTTGATCCGTGCCACAAAAACCGACAACTCGCGGATAAGAGCCAGACGCATCGGCCGACGTCAAATACCTACCACAGACGAGCAAATCACCCCCTCTATACGTCGGCGGACGCGTCTGCCGACGTCATCTGCAGATGAATCTGTCTACGTGTAGAGGAGACATAAGATTTAGAGTGATATTCTAAACATTTTTACTTTGGATTACGGCAATGTTCAAACTTCTTTTAATAACTTATTTAGATTGCCTAAAGTACGAAGTTTCCGTTCATAAGCGTTAAATTGTGCCATCTCACGTAGAACAGATACGGCCGATCCACCATTAACTCCAGCTCAGGGGTCTCGTCCCATTCTATACCTGTAATAAGGTACTTTTAATAAAATACTCAACTAAGTATAAATAATAATCTGTGAGTAGTATACCTATAGGCAAAAAAGATCAAGTATTATTTCCTGTCACGTACCGTCGTCCTTGAAAGCATTTCGTCCAGCCTCCGCCCAGAACATAATCCGCTGAATAGCATGAGACAATCTTAGTTCACTGGGTTCGCTATTGGTCCAGTTCACTAAGTTATGTATGCCCATCTGGAGCAAAAATAAAATTTGTATTTTCCAATGATTGGATCCACAAAAACGACCTAACGCGTTTCGAGAGCTTGCGATGAGTTAGATAATTTGTCGTGGATGCGGGTATTTAGACATTACGACTATCGTTTGACGACCCCCGTAATAAAATGGCTTTCATGCCTGTTTCTAAATGTCACAATATCCTCATGTCTCAGATTCGATTCCCAGTCTTCTTGTTCTATGTTTTTTATGGTCGTGTTTAAAAAAACTTTGTAAATGAATAATTGTCAGTGCGATATGTAGGAATATATCGACTATGAGACGGAAACCCACCATCGAGAGCGTCAGGATGTGTCTCAATAGGATGGAGGAGTTGAGGTAGCGTCAAGCAGATAAGAGAAGAAGAGAAGCGGGAGTCAGAGAAAACGATGACTATAGTTGGCAGGCACCCTTTCAGAATCTCAAATACGCTACATGCAATGCATCCATTTAATATACTAATTATAACTTACTAATTATAAATTAGTTGTAACGCAAGGTCAGACACACCCGAAGCATGTTCCTATAAGGATTCCGATTTTTCGTTTTGGGGTGTGTAATTTTCAAAATTAAGAATCATCATCAGCCTTTTTACGTCCCCACTGTAGGGGCTCAGGCCTTCCTTATGGATGGTTAAGGAGGATGGGCCATGACCCTCCACGCTGGCCCAATGCAAATTGGAGGTATTAACGACTGCAAATGCAGCCGGGACCAACGGCTTAACGCGCCTTCCGAAGCACGGAGTAGCTCGAGATAATAATTTTATGGTCACCCATCCCGTGACCGACCCTAGCAAAAGTTGCTTAACGACTACGATCGCGGGCCGCGGCGCTTATCCACTACGCCACCGAGCTACATTAAGAATCGCGAAACAAAAACTAGTCAAACAATATAAATAACTTACACTCTGCAGTTTTGATGGTAGCAGTAAAGTCATACGCAAAGTATAGAGAGGCATAGAAACTCCTATGCGTATCGGTTCCATCATGTTGATAATATCCGTGATGCTAGTGACGGACAAGTGCTGCGCTACATTCCTCAAGGACGTTTGATCTGGTACCAGCATTAACAAAGTCAATCCTGGGGTAGCGTACGAGATCTCTATAGCCTGAAGAACAAACCAGGTTGTACACACGACTGTGCGTCAGGCTACCACAGTGTGTCATTTCACAATTTAATTTCAACACTACCCACAATGAATTAAGGTTTGAGGAAGGAAAGATAAGATCGAAGGAGTGGACAAAATGTAAACTTCTTTTATTAAAAAAATATTTGATCTATAACGGGTGCTGCTACACACAGCGAGACGCGTAGCTGTGTGTGATTTATGTAAAAAAGACCCCCGACACAATATAATAAAAAAAAATAAAGTAAAAAGCTTAAAAACAAATTAAGAAAACTATAACTTAATTGTCCACAAATAATGCAAAAAAGGGATAAACGTGAAGCCCTTTAAAAAGAAAAAAATAACCTTGACATTATGACCCTACATAATTACAGACAGCATGTCAGACTATTTCACTTTGAACTTTGCGCTAATATTGAACTGCAAGTACCTTGACCTGCTGTTGACCGTACGATTGATATAAATTTTTTTATTAAATGTTGTCGCGTCGGGGGACCGCTCTTCGTGTATTTTTTCTTGCTTTTTGAGAGAGTCCTTCATATTTGATTAATTTTCTAGCAAGTTGCAATTCAGTTAATTTAATGTTTATCTTTTTCTACTTTCGTACAAGTATTTTATAGTTATATAATAAGCATTTATCTTAGGTATTTCAGATCTAGTTTCTAAGATGGGACTCAATTCTATTAAAATAGCAATAACATTGGTCATCCCATATTTACTCCTCCCCCCCCTCCCCTCTTAATTTGAAACAGCTACACCGATATAAATCTAACTTACCGTATAATAATTTAAGTTCAAATAACTTCACGCTTTCAATATGTAATCTATACTAATATTATAAAGCTGAAGAGTTTGTTTGTTTGTTTGCTTGCTTGCTTGAACGCCCTAATCTCAGGAACTACTCGTCCGATTTGAATAATTATTTCAGTGTCAGATTGTGGTAACCCGACATGTGACTGTCTGTACCTATTATATAATTTCGCACTTTTATGATGGCGACCATCTTGGATTTGTAATTTGTCATAGTGTATCTATAGTATTCTATTTGATATCCGTATTGAGGGGGTCATGACAAAATATGTAGGTAATCCAACATTTTGTGGCGGCGGCCATCTTTTATATAAAATTTTATCATAGTATACGGTCAAGCCCTTTTGTTTGATATCCGTATTGAAGGAGTTGTGACAAATTATGTAGATATTCAAACCTTTTTGGTGGCGACCATCGTGGATTTTTTGAAATTTGTCATAGTTTATAGTATTCTACTAATCAAGCCCTTTTATTTGATATCAGTATTGAGGGAGTCATGACAATATATATTACTTAACGCACTGCAAGCTAAATCGACCGACATGATCTCGGTGGTGGAACACATCAAAAATATCAAGGATATTATCAGAAATGACCGCGAGTTTCCTGATAGAATAAGTAATGAAATACTTCAAAAAGCGCGAGCTATTGCAATGGGTTTTATGATAGAAATTTCAGTTACTCAATTAAGGAACTCAACTCAATCAATTAAGGAACATAGAATTAATATATATATGAATCAGTGGCGTAGCTAGGTCATCTAGGGCCCTGGGGCAAATAAAAAAATGGGGCCCACTGCTATCAAAACTGGTAAGGTTTTTTGAAGAAAATCATTATATATGCAAATACTTTAAAAATGCTAAGCAAATTTATCATCAGCTCTTTTTCGTGCATGGGCAGGTAATAAAACTATTGGGCAATAAAACGAAATAGAAAAGATTCAAGGGTTTATTATATTATATATTTATTTATTCATAGATCCGTTGCACCAGCTTACTGTTATTTAACCTATCGCTATGCAAGCTATAAAATATCAATAGAAATATTTTTTCCAGAAGTACTTGCAGAAGGCTGACTAAAAAACTTGGCAATTTTGGGCAATTTTTGTTTAGTTTCTTCTCTTTCTTGGCTTTGTTTGCGTTTAAATGCACCACTGGGTTTCATTTTTTTTGTCCATAATATTAGTTTTCTATTAATTTATTTATGCAATATATGTAAGATTGTACTCAAGTAGGTACTCACTGTTCACTGACAACGTTACAAGTAAAAGGAAAGCGAAACGCAATGATACGATACAAGACGTCGTTGGGGAATCCCCGGCAAACATTTTATCGCCGCCAATGTTACCACATTTGGCGGTTTAAAAAAATGACAAAATAAACATCATGTAATTAATGGACGGCCCCCTACCGCATGTGACTTGTATTTTTCACGGTATTTTGAGTTATATAGTGAGTAGCCGAAATCTATAGATTTTTTACGTAACTATGTATACGTACTACAATCAAATAAAATTGAATTTTTGTATGGACCAGTACAAAAAATTTATTGACATACGCTTACTTACTCCTGATACATTAAGTTTTTAACCATTCTCTGAAAAAAAATCTTGACTCGAAGTTCACAATCGCGAATCACAGAAACGCAAATCGATAAATAATAATATGCAGATATTGATATCCAACAAATTGATGAAACATTAATAACACTGTCAACCCACACAAATAATTTAGGGGAATTCCCTTTTTATAACTTTGGAATTTCTCACAACAGAGTTTCCATGATTAAACTCGAGTTGTCATATTTATTTTGAAAATGGGAGAAATTTCAAACGTTGAGTTCGATTGAGATTTTCTGGTAAAGATTCGAGGGCCCCCTGAGCTTGAGGGCCCCGGGGCACTGCCCCGCCTAGCCCCTTGGTAGCTACGCCACTGATATGAATATATACATATTTTAATATTATTATTCTAATATATAATATTTTGTTTTGTGTCATAATCAAACTAATTAATAAAAGTCAATTTTCATGATTTTTTGTTTCAATATACCCAACCGACCATCTTCTCGAAACAGGTATGAGCTGGACCCCCCCCCCCCAGCTGAAATCCTGGGTACGCCCTTGATAAAGACTATCCCATTATTAATATTAAACGGGACAGATTATTTATCATGTCACAGATGTAGAATATTACATTATCATAGGGGGCGGTATCAATAGATATCAAATTTACAAACCAGACAATCAGTTCGTTTAATTATTCATTTTACTGTAAACCATGTTCGCACGCACACTTTCAGTGCTCTCCTTTTTCTATTGTTTCTACTATTTATATGGGCTCGACTGTCCATCCGATCGAACAACCGCTGAGCATGCCGAAGCGCAACTCCATAATGATTTATTTTGTGCTTACGACTACTCATACCGCCCGGTAAAAGATCACAGAAGTGCAGTCAACATTTCAGTTCGATTTGCAATAAAATACATAAGCTTCGATCCATTAGAAGAAACATTTAGTGTTCATAGTTGGGTCGCGATGAAGTGGAAAGACGAATTCCTAAGTTGGGATCCCACCAAATACGCCAATATTACTGAAATGCAAGTAGAAAGTCATCTCCTTTGGACACCGAAGATGTCCCTTTTTAACGCAGACGCGTCATTATATCAGTCTGAGGATATTTACACGACTTGTTTATTAGACAGCAATGGGACAGTGACTTGTGTTCCACATGTTCCACACTCAGGAATATGTCGTACGTCGTTGAAATACTGGCCATACGATAAACAAAACTGTACATTGTTTTTCGGATCCTGGATGCATACAGGCGAACAGGTAAATTTCACATTCTTCAAATCCCGGCCTGTCATATTGGATGACTATCTAAATGGACCAGGATGGAAATTATTGACTGTAGTACCCGAACGACTACCAGGGCATTATAAGTGCTGTCCTAACGTTACGTATCCTATGCTCAAATATGTGTTTACATTGAAAAGAGAGTCGGCGGGGCCCGCCGCCATCGTAGTCGTGCCATCTGTTGTGATTGTGATCATCACAACTATTTCCCTGTTATTGGACGTTAAAGATGTTAGTAGACTTGCATTGCAGTGCTTTTCTTTGTTCGGACATTTTATTTTTCTAACCGAAATAGGATATGATATACCTAAGCATAGTGCGGACACACCCATTATTCTTCTGTTTATTAGAGATTCAATGATCATGTGTTTAGTATCGATATTGATGACTTTATTGCTGTCATCGCTGAGGAAACGCTTGGAGCCGGCGCCGATGTGGATGGTGTCTATAACGAGACTCGTCACAAGCGGTCCAGGAAAATACGTTGTGTTCACGGAGTTCGATGCTAGCGACACCAGTGATAAAAAGACTTTGACTGAAAATGATGTGAACGAAGACAGCTCCCGCAAGACGTCTGAATGGATTATGTTCGCCAATATTGTAAACAGTGTCGTGTTCATCATTTTTGTACTCGTATATGTGATATTACTCTGCGTTTATATCCCAAAGGACTCCTAAATTGACAACATGTGCCTAGATGTATTTTTTTAATCCTAAATGTAAATGTTTAGCTATAGCTATCATCTTTTAAGTAATTTAATTCAAGATTACTATTATCTAGAACTATAAATGGGATCAATCGTTTTTTATGTCTAAAATCTATAATTAATGTTTGGATAAATATTTATATTAATGTTGTATATTTAATATATTTTTAGAATTAAAACCAATATGAAGTTAACAAGTACCTATTGAATTTATTATTTAATTTGTAGGTAATTAAGTTTTTTTAAATTATAGACATCCATTTGTCGTTTTATTTCCACATAGGTACAGAAACAGTTGTACCGAATGGTATCATAGATAAATTAATTTAACTCAGTATTAGATGAACTAGATCATATAATTAATACTACTCGTACCGAATTAGCATAGACCTGAGATGACTGCTGGGTGCTTATTCTATTTGTCCTCGAACGAAAATATGGAACACTTCGAATCGTTCTTCTAATTTTCTAAAAATCATATCTTTGAAGGTTATCTGTGCATCGGAAGAAGTGTTAGGTCCCACCTCCGTTACATCACAAATTATCGCAAAATGCATTTCTTTGAAGTCGTAGGTATTAGCATTTCGGGTATAGACGAAATTTCGTTTTTAATGAAATAGAATAGCCCAGCAGGTGACATGTTAATTGTATAAATTATACCTAGAGGTCGTCTCACGCAAGTAATCCCTCGGATCACAATGTTTTAGCTTTTATTACAATGGAATAGGAGTTATGCCGCGAGACTTCTTTCATGAGACGAACTCTAGGTAAAATATCGAAGTCAGGGAATGCCAAATCCAAAGCCGTATGAATGAATATAAACATTAGTTATTCCTAGGACATCGGAGACCTTTTCCTTTCGACAACAAAAGGAAAATATGTATACAAATAACATAAAGAGCCTTTCTCTTCATGTTATAAGTATATTAGATTATTTAAATAAAAAAAAATGCATGGAATAGGCTCCAAAACTACTGGAATTGATTTATAAATTTCTTTCACCTACGGTAAGCTAAATTATACGCGGGTGACATAGGCTATAATTTATACGGGCGTAGTCCTGGGAAAACGGGTAGTAGGTAACTAATGAAATAAAATCTTTTAGTCCGTGTGTCAAGTCAAGTACACGTGGAATAAAGGAGTTCAAGGCTAAAAAGAAGCAAACAAAATGTATTTGTACCTGACATCCCCAATCCTCCAAATTGGCATACCTCATGATATCATTAATGCGAATCATGCGTGTCGACTTGGCTGGTGATCCTTCTGCATCCCTAAAAGGTCTCGTGCCATTTAACAGAGTGGGGGCGGAGCGCCAACGGGCTCGAAAATATAACATGATGACAGCCGCGGTGTGAAAGCCTTCAGAAAATTCTTCTGCTTCAAATGTGTTATGGATAGCACCTCCTGAGTCCTCTTCTACCTAACAAGGAAAATTGATTTCAAAATGTAGGGAGACAGTATTAATTTGATTTGTAAATGAGTAACTAAACCATCCATGTGACAGGTGGTATAGCGTAAGGATAAAGTTCAGGTTGAGCGGGGCCAAGGTTAATTTGTATAACGCCCACTAATCCGAACTGGACCCATTTGATGAACATGTAATGGCCATCTCCGGGAACCCCTTGCTAGTGGTAGGGGTTCCCGGTCTGTAACTGGTCGGTCTATGCGAGAGAGTCCACCTCTCCGCTCCCTCCTTAGTCCGCCACTGCACGGACTGCATGACCGTCAACGTTGGTATATGCGTTAAAGTCAGTTTCCTTAAGTTAAAAAAGTGTGGATAATGGCCCGTTCTTCACAAGGGAGATCTGTCCCCCAGCAGTAGGAATATCAAGATGTTCATGATTATAATTTTTTAGCATTGGTTTTTGTTCAAATCTTACCCGAGAAAAACGATTATAACGCAAAATTATAAATATTAATACGTTTATCTATAAATCTCTTCACGACTGACTCCTTATTAGGTTCATGTTGCGGGGTGGGCAAAGATATCCCAGCGCCACAAGAATATACATACCTTTTAGCTCTCTGACATTCTCCCTATTTAGATTCAATGCCATCCATACTGAAAACCTATAGAAACCCTAGCACTGAGGACATTAGCATAACATGCTATGTTAACAGGTTGATGATGATAGTGAAAATTACCATGCGGTTTATAGTTTTCGCCACCTCTTCTGGAGGTCCAGTCACATTACAATGTCCAACTTTCATTTGGAGTGCTGCAGCCAGACTGTTGTTGACTACTTGACTTTCCTGTTGAGACCCCAGTACCAATCTGAATGACCAACGCCATCGTAAGTCATCATTGGCTGCCGGTAACGTTTCTGTGATCGTGTTTATCAAATCTTTTTTATCCTGTTAGAAATTAAATATAAAAATAGAAGATACTAGATATAAAAAAGAATGCTAATTAGATCAAGATGCGAATGAACTTACCGCATCAGTATAATTGATGCCAATAAACACATCTAACTCCGTAGCAATTTGTGTATTCGTTATTGTAGACATAGCAATGAGAAACAAGCTCAAAAATAATCCCGATTGAACAAAACTTATGGCATTCTCGATTCGTTCAGGTGGACTTATGGATATCAGGTGATTGAATGTGGTCTGTAGAAGAAACATGAATTTAAATTCTAAATCAGTTCGATTTGAAGAGACTAAAAAAAATATAAACGGCATATTTCTCAAAATAATCAGTCTTAAAAATAACCAAGTGTTTGAAATGTTACTGAATGTCACTTCCAAACATTTTATTACTATGTTATTGTTTGTAACATTAACAGGTTTTAGGACGCTTGATTTTTTTTTAGATAAATGCTAATAACAATGAAATATATATAAAATAGTATTATTCTTTCGAATAAAATCAATTAAAACAAAACGAAATTTTAATAGATTTATTGAGATATTAGAAGTATGGTAATTTTATCATCATGTAACTAATATGTTCATACCATTTTATATATATTCTGAATGATGTTGATCATGGTAAATGTAATTGTTTACATTTAAATGTAAATGACTTCGTCCGTGGAAAGTTACTCCTTATTACATAAGCTATCTAGCAGTGAAAGTCCCGTCAAAATCGGTCCATCTGTTTAAGAGATTAGCCAGACCAAACAGACTGACAAAATATGATATTTTTGTGTATGTAACGCGTTGTATACCTATGCATTTAGTAAAATGCGGTTAATTTAATGTTTAACAGACACTCCAATTTTACTTATTTGTATACATTTGCCTTGTGGAACTTTCTCAAAATTATCTAAGTTATACCTAAATATTTCAGGTCTTTTTCTCATAGTTTTTTTTATTTTATTTAGTACCTTTTAAATAAACTGTTAGTCGGTAGTGGCATCCGCTGAAAATGTTACACCAATTTAACTGACACTGTAATCAGCGGCGTAACTATACCGTTTGATGCCCATGGCAAATTCATAGGATATTCAATTTTTATTACTAATTGCGTAATAATAAATGTCAGGAGTAAGGAGTCTCCTCTGACCGGGGGCCCCTACTAGTGGGGGGCCCGTGGCAATTTGCCGACTTTCTCGGTATCGGAAGTAGTTACGCCACTGACTGTAATGAGCACAATAAGGTATCTCAAAAAATTAAAAACAAAATGCTTTTTTCGTTAATGCGGAATTGGTAACAAATCAGAAAACAATACCTTTTTTATTTTTTTAAAAAGTAGATACTTACATTGTAAAATTTACGATCTATACGATCCAATTCAAAAGTAAATCTCTCTAATTGAAAGTTTTCTGTTGATTGGTTTGGTTCCTCTTTTTTTATTTTCGCGTTTGTTACTTTTTCTGTCGTATTAACTTTACAATATCTCTCACTATCACCAGTTACATTTGCAACCGTTGCTTTTGTGCAATTGAAAAGATACATCTGCTTTTCCAGATTATCGGTAACCGAAACTATTTCTTGATCGGATGGAGACATATACGATGTTCGATGAATATTATCAATATTACCTACATTGTCGTTAGAATTTAAACCAAGAATATTATTGACATAATTGAAGGTGTTTATATTTTTCGAGGAGTTATATTTGTGATTAATCTCCATAGCGCTAGTTGTTGCAACTTTGTTATCGAGAAATTGAAAATCTATACTTGCTGGACCGCTATAATCTGAGTTCTCGACATTATTATTCAATAATTCTCTATTGATGGGAAAAAATCTTAACGGTGACCTAAATAATCCTGCAGCAAGCGATACAGGTCTTATTAAATCTTTTTTAGGTAGTTTTTTTAACAAATTTAAAGGCAGACGTGCATTTTTTAATTGGTATTTAACAGTTGCTGTGTTATCATTATTCAAAATATAATCAGTTTGTACCCTTTTAGGAAAGTAATGTATATGTCTAACAGGGCATTGTCTCCGTTTATTATTTAAAAAGCAATCTGGCAAATCCTGTAAAGTGTTTTTCAGTGTCAGAGGCGTAAAATAATCAAGTCGTTCGCGAACGCAGAGAACTTTTGCTTGTAGAAATAATAGAGGTACCAGAAGAAACACTGCATTCCAAAAAGACATTTCACTTCACTAATTCTTATGATAATTTACTTAGAGTACATATAGGGAGGTAAACCATTTAATTATGTAAAACATTTAACAGTAAGCGTTACGTATCTTAAATACACCTGCCGGAGAGTGTTATCAAAGTAATACTCTTTCTACGGCTATAGCTATCGAATAAACACATTTTGCTTCGCATGCTTATTACTCTATTCCAAACTAACCGTGCAGTGTGCCATAATCAATTATTGGCAATCGTTAAATAGAATCGGAAGTGATATTATCTTAATGAGTTTTGATTTAAATTGTAAAAAAAACTCTACGTTGACAGGCCTACTCATCTAGCTAGATGTATTGTAGAATCTATCCTTTTTTTTTATTTTAAGTCGAAGAAATGCATTAGGCACTATCCCTGCCACTTGGCAAGTGACAGGGGTGTGTGGGACTCTCCTTCATAAATCTAGTCCGTCGCTAATCGCGCGGTGGGTTCCCAGAGGCCTACCCAGAAAAACTCCTTCGGTGTACCTTCTTCTGGGGATGACATCCGGGAAGCCGTGACCGAGTCATTAAGACCCTCACATCCCGCAGAATCTATCCCTAATTGTCAAAAAAATATGTATGCTTGCTTAAAATTACCAACGTTATTATCACTAACCATTGACTAGCTAATATTGTTATCTATTACAATATTAGCTTGTTAATGTGTTTTTGAGATATGTTGCAAATTTCCTGTTTATATGTATTTGACGGTAACTTAAGAACGCTTTCTCTCCTTCAAGTTATGGGCATACCCACGGTGGGGCAAGATGGGTCATTAGTCTTGACTTGAATATATGAAGTAACAGAATTAAATAATATTTAAAATTATTCATTAAATAATCGAAAAGTAGCCTTTGATTATAATGTCGCTATTAATAACCAGAATTCTCGCAGAGCATTATTGAAATAAAGTTATCGTTAAAAAGCTTTTGCCCCACCCCTAAAAATGCCAGTACGCCCATGCTTCGAGCAAACGAGCCTTTCTTTGAGTCGTGTCTTTTGCAAGAATCATAGATAACCAAAACGTGCAGTTTAGTTACGAATAGCTAGGTACTATTCTAAAATTTCAATCTGATTTTTGTCATAAATCAATAAGCACATTTATTAACATCCATCAAAGCATGTTATTCGATAACCAAACACTTTATCATTAGCAGCTCTGCAATATCGTTGCTTCTTATCAAAGGGGGCGGAAACGCGTGAATTAGGTAAGTATCAAATATTCCACTATTTCACATCCAAATAAATCAATCTTTTTGATATAACCATTTCAGTGGAATATAATGTTGGGACGCAACATATTGACTGTGCTTGTAGGAGTTTCCAATTTTCTTAACGCACTTGGTGGATGTCCTACCGACCGCGATGCAATCGACAACTTCGAAGTAGAACTACATGAAGACCTATTCTGCGCCTACAGTAGTACATTTCGACCAGTAAAAGATTACAGAAGTACTGTCAACGTTAAAGTTCAACTTGCAATTACATACATTAGTTTTGATGGGACGGAAGAGATCTTCACCGTCCACGCCAAAATCTCTATGACATGGCGTGACGAATTTTTGACATGGGACCCATTTAATTATGGAGGCATTAAAGAAATCCCAGTTGATAGTCTGTATATTTGGACACCGCGTTTGTCGTTGTACAACTCTGACGCCTCGACAGGGCAATACGACGTAATATATACAACATGTTTATTACAATACAATGGTACGGTTATTTGTAGTCCACATGAGTCGCCTTCCGGCTTGTGCCGTACCTGGCTGCGAAACTGGCCCTATGACAAACAAAATTGCACGTTTGTCTTTGGTTCATGGATGCATACGGGAGAAAAAGTTAATTTCGACTTTGCCGCGAATAGAGCGATAGTATACGAGAACTTTGATGACGGGCCTGGTTGGAAGTTACTGAACATTTCATATTATCGCTTACCTGGTAACTATGGTCCTAATGAGTCCCATCCTTCGCTTAATTATGTGTTTGAACTTCAAAGAGAAGCTAGAGGACTTGAAGCTATGATTGTGATACCGTCTATAGTGCTAATTGTACTTACAACGATTAGTTTACTATTGGACGTGAAAGAGGACAAGAGATTAGCGTTGCAATGTTTTAGCTTATACGGCCATTTTATGTTTTTGATCGAGATTACCATGAATATTCCGAAACAAAGTTTAGATACGCCAATAATACTGTTGTTGATTCGGGATTCAGCTATCATGTCGTCGGCGTCTATAGTTTTAACAATGGTATTAACGCCACTTCGCGAACGTGCCGAGACGCCTCCTTCTTGGTTATTAAAATTGAGCCAACTAGTGACTAGCGGTCCAGGCAAGTATATAGTTTTCACAGAATTCGATTCCAGCGATACTACCGACAAGAGTCCGGCTGTTGAACAAGACAAAACGCAACTTTATAATGCTTCTGTTTGGTTATCGTTAGCGAACACCCTTAATAGTATAAGTTTTATTATTTACATTGTGACATATATAATCTTAATTTGTATTTATATACCGGAAAATTGATAATAAATACTATTCAGTTTCTGAGGTAATCTGATCCCTAGAGTATAAGCAGGCACGGACATCGACTAATAATATTAGTCCAATAGATAGGACATTCAATTTTTTCTAATACCGCTCAAAATCATAATCCCCTTTTTACACAGTAGTCAGGTAATAAAATATCTCAAGCTTATAGTAGGATATCTTTATTATTCAACAAACATGTAATAGAAGAATATAATAACAAATAATACATTTATTTACTTACCATTGTAAAAACAATTTAAGGTTTTATTTGAGATCATTTTGCCTAATTCATTCCGTTGTAGAATCCAATGAAAAATGCTATTTTATTCTCATTATCAATCAATAAGTATAGGAATGGTCGGTCAGCGTAGAAAAACTTGACATTTTTTGGTCCACATTTCTTCTTTATCACTTTTTTACCTGTGGTCATTTAACCGTATTTGTGTGAAAAATAGTGACATGGCATTTTTCTGCTTGATGCGTACTACAAATTTCTCTCAGAATCAAATAAATTATCTCTAATATGAAGCATTAGGGTAGGTGCATATCCCACGAGAGAAACGTCACATCTCATCGGTGGTGGAGTCATGGAACGTCAGAACTGAAAATTATTTATGATATTCGACCTTGCACACTCGACGGAAATTCTATCGCGTTCTCACGTACTTTCTTCCGCTTGACGAATCTTTCGTTAGATATTCACCGACCATGGTGCGCGTAATTTAACCGATAATATGGAGCCCCTAATATTCTATGTGAGATTTCCATTGCCAAAAAATGTGATTCTAACGGTCAGTTGCATAAACATCCAATAAGGTTTAATGTCACTTTATACTAATGATAATTTTAATGGACGTTTGTGCAACTGGCTGTAAATGTTTTATTATAAGACGGTTAGTGTATGAGCGTAACTATTCGATATATGTTTTGTATTTATTTCTTTGTTAATGCATGAAAGTATGATTAACAAATCAAGAAAAACCACACTTGCATGCTTCAGCATTATTCCAATGATTTATAATACACTGTGACAAGGTCTTTATTTTAAAATGCATATTATAAAAACTAGGAATTGCTTTATATATTTATTCATTTACCAAGAGGGAAAGAATTAAATCGAAAACTCATGTAATTACAAATATATGACCACCTCCGTGGCCAAATAACTTATACGCCGGTTTCAAGACTTTTATGCGTCGTTATTTTCGATGTCCCGGGTTCGATCCCGGTAGAGTCAACATAGAAAATGAGCTTTTCTATATTATCTGGACGTTGTGGTACCTTCAAAGCTTCGGATTACCATAAATTGGAATCGAAGCAATATAGGTGTTGTTATATCTATTTTAAATATTTAGTGACGAGGTGATACTATACCAAAAATTTTTGTGATAAGAGCACTTGTTTATAATAGATACTTTAGTAAATATTTAAGCGCCTCGATGCACCGCAAAAAAAGCTGGGGCATTGTTGACAAATATCACAGCCAGGAATGGGTGATCAGCGCGAAAATGGGGCACCAGCGGTTCGTCTATCATGGCCGAAAACAGCATTTTTACAGCTGTAAAGATTTATTAAATAATAAATAATAATGTAGTTATGAGCGTACCTAACATTTCCTCAGGGGTGGGGCAAAAGTAAAGAAACTAAATAAATAATGTGAACTTCATTATTTTTACTAATTAATTTCAAGGATTTAATAGGTACTAACTAAAATATCTGGTTTTTATTTAAATTATATTACATAATATTTAGTTTTGTTACTTCATACAGTATAGCTCTAATTCAGTTTTGCCCCACCGTGGGAAACCCCATGAATGTAACCCAACAACAGCGTTAAAAACTGATATTATAACATGGTATAGTAAGACTAGGTGCGCACTGGTGATTTTTTGTCATCATGACTTATTGTTTCTGTCATCGGCTGCTGTTTGAAGTCACCGAATAGGGTAGTTCAAGTACTGAAAAATTTGTCACGAAGTTGCACAAAAACTAAAATTTACATTGAAATAAACATAGAGATTTTGAGTCATAAAATTACATAATTATCTTATTATCTTTAAATTCAGTCAGATCAAAATCCTTCCTTAGAGGATGCCTACGTCATAACATCTATCTGCATGCCAAATTTCAGCCCGATCCGTCTAGTGGTTTGGGCTGTACGTTGATAGATCACTATTAGCCTGATACAAATACCAACTTTCAGTATGGAGATCAAACATTAAAACATAACAGCTGTTTTTTTTTTATTATGAGGCTATCATATATTTTCTTTTTAATATATGAATTAATCCAATGATATTTTCTTTCGGATTATTAGTAAAAAAAAAAAAAATCCTTTAATTTCTCAATGGCATGATAAGCAAAATACATATAAAGTGACTTCTACGTATTTTCACACTGTTACTTATGTTACTTCCATGAAATACATAAGTCTTCCTAATATTATATTTGGAAACTCATATTTTTATATAACACGGACAATAAATATTTAAAAAATATTTATAAAAAAATCAATAATATTAACAATGAAATAAGACTTCAATCGATATTACTATATTGCGTAAAGTATATTTTGTTTTGAATCAAATGAAAATTTTCATGGGAATATTGCATACCAATATTCCCGTGGAATATTGGTATATCACACGCAATATATGAACTAAATATCATTAAACTCCACTCATAAATATTTAAATAAAAGTTTTATTATATTAAACTACAACAAAAAAAAATTAAGTAAAAAATAAAGTTTAATAAAAATCACTGTTTCCTGTAATTTTTTTAGTTAGATTTCAGTAATTTTAATTGACGCTATGATAAATAAAACAAAAATTTGTGAAATAAATCGTGTTAGTATTATGCGTGAATAAATGAAGGTTTTTTTACCTGATGTTTTTTTTATACCTTCCGTAGATAAAATGAGATGGTTCTTAAATATAGTCTCTTGTAATTGGCTCATAAACTCGATTAAAAATATTCCAGGCTTATATCGAATTATTTCCGTTTTTCTCGTATTTGTATCAGGCTATATGTCAGTCAGTCACCTTTGAGTTATAGGTATATATTTATATGTTATTGTTCCTAGTAGCGGATAACCCTTAATTTAATTTATCTACTCCTCAGAACACGGATATAGTACAAAGTAGTGTAATAAGTAATAATAAGTAGTGACTCATATGAGTCCGTGTTTGCGGTAACACTAGTAGTTTCTGAAGAAAACTTGGTAACCCGAACATCACTTGTGTTGTGTCCTTTAAATTATTCAAAATCAATATTATTTATTCAGTCTGGGCTGTTAGAAGCACTTGTGAAAGTCGAGAGCTACGCCATCGGTTCGTAAATCTACGGCAGGAGACCTTGTACCGAGAAGAACCGGCAAAAAACTCGGCAAGGGCTGCTTTTTTCTCCAAATATTGTCTTTTACAGTCCTCCATACCGTATATGGACCATGGACGAATGATCAGAATAACTAATTTATAAAAACATAAAGGTACCTATATACATCACATTAAATAAAACTGTTTTCTTTAAAACGTGCTGAAATATTGATAAGAATACACATTTTTATATTCAGTGATGAAACAAAATATCTTGTGATACAGCAATTGTTTGTGCTCAATATATTATTTGTGCTCAAAGTATTTAAGTGCCTCGATGCACCGCAAAGAATGCTGGGGCATTGTTGACAAATATCACAACCAGGAATGGGTGATCAGCGCGAAATTTGGGGATCGTTGATACAGCACGAACCAAACAGAGCGGGATGGACACCAGTGCTGGAAAACCAAAGATTTGGAATTTAGTAGGATTGCCAGCTTAAAATCGGCAGATTTTGGTAGAAAAATCTAACCGCATAAATTCAATAATATTTAAACAAAATTAAAAATTATTGTCATTCTTTATACTAACATGTTAAACATTTGAGGATGTACTAACTATATGTATATTTACAAACTAGTCTCAAGATAGTATAAAGCAGTATTTGTCAAGTGTAAGTGAGGTCAGTGGTAATACTAGTAGAGGTCTAGGATTAGGCCATTCAATCTCGAAATACCGAGATCTCGGTTTTGCAAGGATTCCGTATATATTTTTTTATAAATCCTGTGTTGCGAGATCCGCGGGATGGGAAAGAAACATACACACACGACCTCACGCGACAGCACACTGACGGACAAAACGACCAAACTAAATAATCGTAGTCATAATTACTCTTGTCAACATTAAGTTGAAAATGTTTTAGGTTTATATTTTAATTTAGTAGTAATATATTTTGTAGTTAAAATACTTTTTCAGTATTTATTCCATGCTAATAGTAAAAATTAAATCAATACGAAATTATATTAATTTATTCTTTGTTTCATTTATCCTTTATAAAAAGTAATATTAGGACCTTACATATGAAATTGGCGTTTTATCATACTGGCCACTTTAATCACAAATTTCTCTTCTTTGGTTGGGTATTCCAAATTTATACAGCCATTTAATTATAAATAAATAACAAATAAATGCCATAAAGTGGCATTCATTTGTTTCTTTTCTTCTGTTTGTCCTATTTACGTCATCCAGTATAAAAAAGGGAAAACTTGAAATATCGTGTTATTAACAAGTACGAGTTTCACCGTGATACCACTGCTGCAGAAACGGCTCGAAGGGTTAATGATGTGTATACTATAACTATAAAATAGGAATAGGTATGTAATATAAAAGTTCATAAAGACAGATAGTGTGCCTTTACTAGATTTTGGGACTATCTACCGTTTGCGCACGTCTTATATTTTCGGGAATTTATAGGAGAATTGCTAATTTATAGGAACATAGAAGTACAAAAATCACATGAAATAAAAACCATGATTGCTTAAAAATGTGCTTATAATTATGACACAATATACATTAATAAATTCAGTGCTGAAACAAAATAATCTTGTGAGAGAGCAATTGTTTGTGATACATTAAGAAACTATTTAAGCGCCTCGATGCACCGCAAAGAACGCTGGGGCATTGTTGACAAATATCACAGCCAAGAATGGGTGATCAGCGCGAAATTCGGGCACCGGTGGTTCGTTTATGATGGCCGAATACAGGACGATTCCTACAGCTGTAAAGGTTAATATAATAATAAATAATAATGTAGTTATGAGCGTACCTAACATTTCCTAAGGGGTGAGGCAAAAGTAAAAAAAAATAAATAATGTGAACTTCATTCATCTAACTAATAAACTTCGAGAATTTAACAAATAGGTACTACCTTAAATATCTGGCTTTTATTTAAATTATATTACATAATATTTAGTTTTGTTACTTCATACAGTATCTAATTCAGTCTTGCCCCACCGTGGGAAAGACCATGAATGTAGCCCAACAACAGCGTTAAAAACTGATGGTATAGTAAGACGCATTGGTGATTGTCATTGTGACTTATTATTTCTTTCATCGTCTGCTATTTGAAGTCACCGTATAGGGTAGTTTCAGTAGTGAAAAATTAGTAACGAAATTGCACTAAAACTAAAATTTAGACTATTAAA